TCCTTTCCTAAGCAACTGGAAGGGCACTAACCAGGAAGTGGCCTAGTTAGGACACGGCGAGCATTAAACACACCAGAATATGGCACCCAGCAAATCAAGGACAAGGAGGAGCTGCACATACCACAGTAAAGAGTAAAAAATTAACACTACTGTTATCAGCAAACCTATGTGATATTTTGTTCTGCAATACAATTCCTGGTAAAGGGAAACTCTCTAGGGAGAACATTTAAGAGTCATCACAAATTTACAGCTGGTGTAAGAGCCCAACTGAAAAAAAGCTGTGAACAGCCACTAACACACTGGAGTACAGCAAACCAGTAACATCTGGACTTAGAAGAAACACTAGTGAATTAACTTGTAAGCTATATCACAAAAGCTCTCTAGCATAGCTCTTCCTCTATGTTCATTTTTCTTTCAGTGTTCCAATTCTCTGCCAAACTACCACTCCTGAAACTAAACACCTGAGTACTGACTTAATTTTCACTTGCAACTTTAAATGCTGAACCTAATCTAGTGTAGAAGTCTATTTTTAAAAATGAAAGCTGGCTTACTAAATGGGTGTCCCTGCCCATGGTAGGGGTGATAAAACCAGACGTTCCTGAAGGTCCCTTCTAACCTAACCCATTCTGTGATATAAAATTACTAAATTCAGCAGAATTCGTGTTACTGCTTACATATGTAGAAGTCAAAAAAAAACCAAACTGAAGGGCCAGGCTGGAGAGAGCTCTCAGCAACTTATCTAGTAGGTGGCATCCCTGCCCACGGTGGGGGGAGTTGGAACTAGATGAGCTTTAAAGTCCCTTCCAATCAAAGCATCCAGTGCTTCTATGAAGACAGGCATATATTTTACCACTTCTCCTACCTTTCTGCCTTCTCACAGGCAGAAGGTACTTCTGACCTCCTTCTGCCTGCACACGCTCTCATGAGGTATTCAGAAGGACCGAGTTTGAGAAAAGCTGCCTTCAACCAAAATACCCATGCTACAAAGGCAGGCTACCTCGAGTCACCGACTGCAGCACCTCCCCTTCCAGTCACGCACATACTTACTCAAAAACTTCTAAGGGCACGCTGATATCGTGAAGCTGCTGCCGGCACTTATCGATATCCTGCAAGCCCGTCACCATGAAATTCCTGTTGGGAAAAAAAAACGGGTTGGGTTTTTCGGGGTCGCTGCGCTGCCCCTGACGATGGGTGCGAGGCGAACGATACCCAGACAGGGAGAAAGAGTCCTGAGACACCACCCTGGGCCTGGAGGGGCAGAAGGCCCCGAAGCCCGGCCAGGCCTGCCCCGACAACGGCCCCTCACAATTTCTGATTGAGCCCCGTCTGGCTGCTGGGCTGGAAGTCGCTGACGATGATGCCAAGCTGCCTGATGTTCTCCACGAACTTCTCCAAGTGCTCCTCCAGGGAGTCGAACTTCTCCGCCATCGCCGCCACCTCCCCAGCGCTGCGTCACTTCCGCCCACGGGCGCCTGCGCGGGCGGGAGGTGCGAGGTGTGATGGCTACGCCTCCTGGCCAAGCCACTCCTCCTTCCCCTCACAGGAGAAGCCGTTGCAGCTGTCGTCACCGTCGCGTGAGGGCGAAACAGGGACAAGCGCCGCTTCACCGACCAGAACCCAGCATAGGGTGTTCGAACGTGTCTTCTGTCTGTCAGCTCTGAGCCGTCTTTGGGCATGTGTAAGAAATAGAAGCGGTGACAGGCAGAGGTTCTACTTCATAATAAACTCCACACTGGAATCATCTGGGGAACAGCAAAACATAGAGACACAGAAGCGCAGAGTGGTTTGGGATGGAAGGGATAATCTAGTTCTAGTTTTGCCATAGGCAGAGAAACCTCCCGCTAGACCAGGTGTTCAAAGCCCCTTACAACCTAAGCTTGAACACTTCCAGACACGGGGCATCCACAGCTTCTCTGGGCAGCCTGTTCTAGTGCTTCACTACCCTCACAATAAATAATTTATTCCTAATATCCAATCTAAACACACCTTCTCTCAGCTTGAGCCCACTACTTCTTTTTCTATTATGAATCAGTCTATATTAAATAATCCAGCTATCAGTCATCCTTGTGGGAAGGTTGTCTGACATGCTTAGACCCCCACGGCACATCACAATAACTATGTTTTACAAATAGCTTGTCTCCAATATGTCTGTTTTGAGTTGAATCTGGACAGATCAGTCCAGAAATGTCAGGAGATAACTCATCCAGTTCGGGGGTCCCCAGCACAGGAAGGACATGGACCCTTGGAGAGAGTCCAGAGTCACCACATTGATCAGACAGATAGAGCACCTCTTCTGTGAGGAAAGGCTGAGAGACTTGGGATTGTTCAGCCTAGAAAAGAGAAGGGGCGACCTAATTACAGCCTTCCAGTATTTTTTGGGAGTCTACAAAAATGATGAAGAGGGACTTCTTAAAAGAGCATGCAATGACAGGACCAGGGGGAATGACTTCAAACTGAAAGCCAGTAGGATTAGATTAGATATTAGAAAGAAATTCTTTACTGTGAGCATAGTGAAACACTGGAAGAGGTTGCCCAGAGAAGCTGTGGGTGTCCCATCCCTGGAAGTGTTCAAGACCAGGCTGGATGGGGCTCTGAGCAGCTTGGTCCAGCAGGAGTCCCTGCCCATGACAGGGGTTGTAACTAGATACCTTCCAAACCAAACTTGGATTTAATGTATTTTATGCATTTTGTAGCTATAACTTGCAGCAATTTCTGCTCCACAATGAGAACCATCAAAATCTGCAATTCTTATTTTCTTGGCTGTGTCTTACTTTTCCATTTTCTATTCATGACAATAACACTATCAAATGTTTGGTTTCTATTCTGGGTTACCATGCTTATACCAGCAGCAGGAATTTGGGTTTTTGCAAAATATAAAGCACTGTTTGAGAGTTCATAGGATTAAGTATGCTAAACTAAATTTAAAAAGCAAGCAACTGTAAAGAACACTGAATATTAAGGAAGATACATGACTGTGCAGATGTGAAATTAAAAAATAATACTAGGATGCAGAAAACAATTCATGAGTTCTAGGCTTTGACAAGTATTGTCATCCTATGATAAAATAATCCCACCGTCTGTTGATCAGCAGTTGCTGGCCCTCCTATATCTATTGTTGGCAGAATGTTGTCTGGACAGCAGAAGTCCCAGAATTATGAGGTTTTAAGACAATTACTTCACACATGAGAGATCTTGGTCTGAGAAAAACAATAACTTTTTCTAATATTTGGAAGGAAGAATGTAGAATAGGGTGCATTTACCAAGTTAGATCTGAACATGAGGAACGGGGGTGTCAAGTTTTGAAAGAACGGTGTAAATAAAAATTATGTCAGACTTGGGTCTGCAGGCACAAGAGACTGGGATTCAAACAGAAGAGTTGCTTTATGTCTATCTTTGCATATGGGCAAACACATCCAGTAGAAGTCTGGAGCAGAACCACTTGCTTTAAATTCAGTAACAAACAAGGGCTTTGAGGTGCTGTTGAAGCTTCCTCTCCTTCCTGTTTGGGTAAAAGCCTTTGGTTCTTGGAACTGAGCAAATAGGACTTCCAGCTTGCTTGGAATAAGTCCTATAGATGTTCATGATCACATCTAACTCAGAGAACATATTCAACAGAATAAAATAATAGAAGTTTAACATCAAATATAGAGACGTCCAGTTCATTGTAAAGCTGTATTTACTAGTCTGGTTAGGTTAGATTAATTAATTATGTTAGATAAACAGAGACAGTGCTTTTAAGTTTAAAATTTGCTGTAAATATATTACTGGTTGTTAAATTTTTCTCATGATCACCAGCTTGTCATCGTTTTATGTTAAGGGGTAAAATGTAAAAGTGAGAAACTTGTGTTGCAGTGAGAGAGAGAAAGAGAAACAGAAAGAAAGTAAGTCTGGCAAATAACTGAATTTATCGATAGGTACATAGAGACAGAAAGTTTTAGAAAGAAAATGTCATGGCTCATGATGTAAGTAACCATATTGTACTCATACCCTGATTTTCGTACAGGAAGTGGGCAATTACAGGCTTGTAAGCTGGGCATCTGTACTGGCAGTTAAGTAGGGTTTGTAATAAAGGATGAAATGAGAAGCCGTATGGATCAATTTGGTCATTTGGGAAGAGCAGCACAGATTACATGGAAGAAAATCCTGTTTTGCAAACCTCTAATGAGTTTTTCAAGGGGTCAGCAATCATGTAGATAAGAGATCTAAATGATACAATCTACTTGATTTCCCATCAGCTCTCAAAGAAATCCTTAAACAAAATCTTTTAAGGAAGTAAAGGAATGGAATAAGGGGAGAAATCCTAGACTAAAGAACTGAATCCCAGATAAGAAATGCAGGACAGGGGCAAGCATTTAATCCTTGCAAGGGGAGAATTGATCCCAGAAGAGTTCCACAGGGAACTAAGCTGAAAATTGTGCCATTTAGTATGTTCACAGATGATCACAGAGATCAATGGTACAATGAGAAAATTGTCTTATGAGAACATTATTTGGCAGACTAAAAATGAATGCGGCATGTAGGAAACTGTAGAAGGACCTGAAAAGACTTTAAGATGGATCATGTAAAGCAATGCACATAGCAAGCAAAAAACCCCTAGTTTCACATGAAGATTCATGACCTCTTGACCTTTACTATACAGGAACAAGACTTGAGGATCAAAATAGAAAGTTCTTTGAAAACATCAGTTCAGCGCTCAGCAGTGATCAGAAGTCATGTGGAGAGTTAGGAATTGTCAGGAAAGAAAGGAGAACAAAGCAGAGAATATCATTGTGCTACTGCACAAACCCATCATTTGCTCCAACCTTGAATACTGTGTGCAGTTCTCATTCCTTGGAGTGGACCTGGAAAGGAGTCAGAACAGGGCTGGCAAGATAACTGGTAGATATGTAATAGGAAAACATGGACAGACAGGTGTTAAAGTGAAGCATAAACTTTAAAGAATTTCAGATATTAGAAAAGCTAAGGCCTTAATTAAAATTAATTTTTTCTAAATCAAATAAAAACCTAATCCTTGCTAAATTTAATTAAAATAGAGAGGCACTACTAGAATTAGGAGCTAATCATTAGCCAATAACTAATTGTCTGTCAACCTTATGTTTGTTCAGCTGGGCTTGTAATGAGAAACAAAGAAATTCAAGAACATAAGACAATTTCAAACCAGAAACAATTGGAAACATGAAACTAGGAGCCTGGCTAGGGGTTCATCTGTCACTTTGTATTGAAAAGGTAGAAAGGTCAGAATGAGGAAGAGCCATATCCCTTCCTCCCTTATATGAGCCCTCCCCATAACGAGACCACTGACTCATTTCAGGGAACAAACTGCGCATGCTTAATTGCTTATTCTTAATTAGCATAGGAAGCGGGGAGTGGGTGGTAACTGGGTTATGAATTTGCATTTATATTCAATATCTCAGTAAATAAAAAGTTTGTAATCACCTGTATTCGGGGCCGTGTGTATTAAGGGGTGACCCTGCACATTGGCCTAGCACTGCCAATAAGCATACACTCTGTAATCCTAATCGGTTAAAGAGTCTTTGGCCGTTATAGTTGGATACTGATACTAGATCATATCCATATTTTGGTAAATCAAAAGGCAGGCCCTGGGAACTGTTAGGCCTTGTGCTTACTAGATCATGTGAAACTGCACCTGTGTAGTCAGTATATGATAAATGATATAATTGTTAAATGTGATTAGATATGATTATTTAAAGAATTGTGAGAAACTATGTTAGAGGTTTGAGGGGGATCACGAGAAATCCATGTTTGGATGAAATCAATGTATATAAGAGAACAATGTTTAATAATTAATATGTAAGTTATGTAACGATAGAGTATAAAACATGTTCAGCTCGAAAGCAAGTTGGGTCAGATTCTGTATGTGTACCCTTGACGCCCAGAGCTCTTTAATAAAAGCACCTACATATAATCATCCCGTGATTATGTGTTCCCAAATGCTAACACAGGGACTGTCTTTCAGCACAAAAACTAGGGGCCATCAAAGTAAAGCCAAGAAGTGACAATACTTTCAACTTCAGAACACACAAAAAGCAGTGATTTTTGTGATAAAAAGTTCAAAAGCCCTATGGGACTATCTGCCAATGGATGTTATGGACAGAAAGTGCTTAGCTGTGTTGAAGGGAAAATGGAACAAATGCTTGGTAGACAGTCAGGGTGGTGTAGGTAAAGTGCTTCTGGCTCAGGAAATCACATGAACTGAAGGTAGCCCAAGGCCAGGAAGGTAGTCAGGAGAAGTCTCATAGATGCTTTTCTTGTCTTTGCTCTTCAGCATTTACTTCTGGTTAGTGCTGAGCACAGGATACTGACCCAGATGGAGCCTTCGTCTGAATCTGGGGGGTTACTGCTGTAATAAATGTTGGTATAATTCGCATATTATTGTACATATAAAATCAAGCATAAAAGAGTGTTTTGTGTAAAAAACACAAGCAACTTGAGATTGCAAAAGCAGCTGCTGGAAAACCAGGAATT